AAAATAATAAATGTTTTGCACAAATTGCAGCCCTGAGTCTGCAGAAACCTTTCTTAGGGCCTAATTCTGTTCTTGGCAGATGTGCACAGCTTCCATTGACTTTGACAAGAATCATTTATGCATAACCAAGGGCAAAATTGGGCCCTTAAGTATATACCTGATAAGGCCCCAATCCTGCAAATATTTAGCCTGTGCTTAATTTTACAGTGAGTAGCCTTTGTAGACTACTCAGTGGGGAATTACAATTAAGCACATGGATAAACAATAACCATATATATTAGGGATGTTAAAAAGCGGTTAATTAGGTAACCACATAACCGCTGAAAATTCTCAGTGGTTACACACTGCGGGCTCTGCAGTATACGCTTCATACTGCAGAGCTTGCAACTCAGGGCGGCAGCAGGCCCTCAGGAAGCTAGCGCAAGCCGGAGGCTGGCTTTTAACCTGGCGCACAACAGCTCCCGCCTGCCAACAGCACTCCTTGGGAGCCAACTGCCTCTCAGCGCTGGCGCTGCTACCTCTGTACTGTAGGCAGCAGTATGGGGCAGCAGCCAGATCCAGGAGCCGGCATGTGACGGAAACCAGATTTTAAGCCAGCTCCCAGCTCCCTGGCTGCTGCTCCACGTGGCAGGCTCTCATACAGAGCCATCGGTCTGGGGTGGCAGCCAGCTCCACAGGAGCAGAGCTGGGAGCCTGCATGTAACCCTTAGCAGTAACCAATAAGCCTGTTTATTGGTTAACCATTTGAACGGATATCCTAGTACATCTCTAGGATGTACTATGGAAATAAACTGTAATAAGGACACCTCATTGTGAACATTCACTCAAGTATGCTGCAAAAAAGTGGGAATATTCTGCAGTAGACATAGTTGGAACACTGTGGGAAAACTGGGGAGGGGTATGGCTGTTACCTTTGTAACTGCAAATACTTTTTCTACATTATTGTTGCCTGTAACAAACTGCTTAGGTGGTATTAATGATGTCCGTTTGTAAGAACACATTGTGTTAACTTACACTCTCCATAGTTAATGGTAGCATTGGACTAATGACACAGGCCTGAACAGTGATTATCTAATTCTGGGTGTCCAATCCCAGACTGATCAAACCTCAAACATTTCCATCATCACAGCACTAGCAGCAGCTAGCCTGTTTCACAACACTACAACCAGGCCTTGTGGGACCTTATTAATTATTTACAATGTTAACAAAGTCAATCCTACATTCTGATAAGTGGCAGCAACATTGCAGTCAGCAATTTCCAGATTTTTCTGACCAGCCTCTCTTAATATGTCTTTCCCCCCTGAATTCAGCATCTTTTGTACAGTGTGCCTTGTTACTTTGTAATCCGAACAGTATCTTTTTAATTTCTCACTGAAGTTACCTCAGGCTGAGTATGTCATATGGTTAAAGCATATATATTAAGTAAAGGAATGAATCTCTTGGTTTTTTGGAGGGAGAGTAGAGGGAGAAGGTCAACAAGAGAAACTGCTGATACTTACACCAAGAATGACAATCTTCAACTCTGGAGTTCAGCAACCACCGAAATCAAACTGCTCTGATGAAAATATGACTGGCTTACCATGGAAATCAGTTTTCCGTGGTTTCTGTGTGAACTTCATAGGGGAAAATACGCAAAGGAAAAGAATGTACTAACTAGGTACCAAGATTTTGTTTACTTCTATAATAAATCAGAGATTAGATCAACTTTTTTTCTTCCCCCAAATCAAAACCAAAACACACCCCACACATTTGTATAAATGGCGGGGGATGAGGTAGAGATGCAAAATCCCCTTTTATTGTTTAACCAGTTAACTGATTAAACAGGAGTGGCGGGAGAGGAAGGCGTGGCTCCAGCCTGGCTAGAGCAGCCCCCCCCCGCCTTCCACTGGGCTGAAGCTGTTCCCCTGCTGCAGGCAGGTGGAGCACCAGCCAGTCTGGAGCATCTTGTGCCTGCGGGACACCTGTGCCTGCTGTAGACAGAGGCTGCTCCAGCTGGGATGCTGGAGCAGCCCCTGCCTGCAGTAGGGCCAGGTGCTTCACAGGCAGGGGCTGCTCTCCCACAGCCAGAGCAGTCCCTGTCCCCTGCAGACCCCCAGGAGGCCTTGAGCACTTCCTGCCGACAGCAGGCAGGGGGCTGCACCAGCCTCCACCAGTTAGCCTTAACCAGTAAGCCTCCCCAGTTAACCAGTTAAACATTCACATCCCTTTGAGGAGTTAGAGACAATAAGTTCAGTGATATATATATTTCCCATTAATTTTAATGATCACTGTTCCTTCATTGGAACTTTGTGCACTGAAGTGAGGATATAACTCCCCTAAATAATAATGTGCATTACTGACCCACTGCCATGTTTTACACCAAACCAGATGCACCAGGTCTTGCCAACAGGGAGACAGCTACAGAATGAAAAACTCACTAAGACTGGAAAATTCCCACTGCAGCCAATTCTGCTTGTTTCCTTTAAATTATTTGCTACGCTCTTCTACTGGGCAAAGACAAAAGCCATAAGCAGGACAGAAAGCCTGAAGAGTCTAAAAAGAGAAAGGGAGACAGGAAGACCAAGAAACAGGTGCCCTGCAAATCCACATATATCCACTTTGCATCTGTGGATATCCATGGCTCATTTTTGCAGATGTGGATGCAGATACCAAATTTCTATGTGTGCAGGACTCTTACGAATAAGTACAAAACATAGGGAAACAACCAAATACACTACACAGCACTTCACATCAGTAATAACATTCCAAAGCAATATACCAAGATGCAAATGCTATTGAAAAATGGTGTGCTCTTGATGACTGTCCAAGAGTCACCCTCCCAAGATGCTGCACTGGTTTGAAACTTTTATTGCTGAAAGAGACACACACCAAAAAACACACACAAAAATTAGGAAGCATTTGAGATGTAGTTTGAAAAACAAAGGGGACATAATCCAGTTCGCATAGATGTCAATGGCAACACACACCTTCACTTCAGTGGGAACAAAACTAGCTTCTAGTACTGTCCAGTAAGAACTGCACAATAAGGGCTGGCCACTGTCAGAGGCTGCTCCAGCAGCAACCCCTGTTCACAGCAGCCTCCCCAAACTGCTGCCACCTGCTGCAGCCTCCCCAAACTCCCGCCACCCACCACGCTGCTGCCTCTGACAGCAGTAGCATGAGGGAGGAGGCACTGCAAAGATGGTGCTGGGGAACTGACTTAAAGTAACACTCTTCCTTCAACTTCCCTCACTTCCCATAAATGAGAGTTACAGGAGTCAAGTAAGAAGTCCTCCAGCTCACCATTATTTTGAAATAATGGCTTGTAGTGGAGACATGCCCTGTTATTTTGAAATAATGTCAGTTATTCCAAAATAATGCTGCTACGTAGAAGTAGCCTTACATCCCTACTGCATGATCCTACTTAAAAGTAGCATGGTCAGAGGTGAAGTGCTATTCAAACTGCTGTTGCACCAACACAGATAAGGCAAAAAAAGAGTACGCTCTCATTTTAAAAATCAAATTATAATAGTGTTCATCCCAAATATATACCACACACACACACAGAGAGAGAGAGAGAGAACCCCTAAAATACAACTTCTGTAGGAGGGACTCCATTAACCAGCAAGAACACAGAACACTGCATACAACCTAGAAGTGTGTTAGTTTGGATCAGAGACACCAAGGTTGTCTCCCACCCTACAAAAATGATCAAGATAGCTTTAGTTTTTATGCTGAGAAAACAAGACCTACATTCTTAAGTTCCCCTTTGAAAGATCCACACACAGTTAATGAAATGGAACGCCTACTATTTGAATGAGTAGTAAAAGACACAATTGTATTATGGAAGAGAATTTAAATAAAAATACTGTATGGATTCCTACCCTGAACTGCATGATTCTGCACTGACATGGACCTTTACTCCTCACTTGTGCCTTTTCCACAGTGTTCCATAGCCCCTCACTCTCACTGGTCTGCTAGAATGCCAATTTGTTTCCTTATTAATTTTATATTTCCACTCTTTATCTTGATATATCGGTTTTTTCCCTAGCTGTACGACAGTGATCATACCTAACTCTGTAAACCATTTACTCTTGTCTCCTTCCTTCTGTGAAACATTGTATGATGCTTTTCATGAGAGATAGGAAAAAAGAAATAAACTGTATGGCGCATAAAATGTGTGCCAAAGGAGGAAAAAATGATTTTTTAAAAACCAAGACAGTATGCTCTGTGGAACATCAAACCCAGGTTTTAAGCCCAATAAGATGCTCTGGGGTGTATGTGGTGACCAATATCAGCAATTTCCAGTCCAATCAAAGCTACCCAAATGATGTGCCCAAGGCACTTCAATAACTGTAAAAACATGCAGCTTAGAAAAACTGTTTAAATATGTTCATAATACTGGATGTGGCTTTAATTTAAAATCTGCTTAAAAACATAATGCTGTCAGAGCATAAAAGGACAGACACATCTACAACTGTAAGTATTGAATATTACAGGCTTTTACCCTGTGCTGCAGAAGAAGAAAAAGTTCCCAGTTGCTTATTTTCTCTCCCTTCCCCCCCCCACTTAAAAAAATATTAATCTAATCTGAAGAAACATTCCGTTGGCTGAACATAATCAAATACATCATGTGATTCTACCAAAGTTGTTGGCTGAATAATGCTGTTTGCTTTTCACCCTCCACTCCAAATTAGTAACCATCTGTTTAAGCTCAATTGGGATTGCTGTGTATTTTACCTACTGCAAAGAGGAATGCTGTGTATAAATGCAGCACTTGGGAAGGTGGGGGAATCCTTGCTGCAGGACGACAGAAAATAAAATGTCTCTGCATAGTTATAACCATTTGCCACTTATTTCTGACTGAAGCAAGTTCAGGTCATTTTCTGACTAGTACTGCAAGTTAGAAAAAAGATACACACTATCTTTGATTGAAGTGCCCCCAAACTATAAGCAAAAAGGGAATGGTACTGTATTTAAAAAAATAGAAAAAACAACCCAATGATATTGAAACTGCTTACCTCGCCGGGTTCCGCAGAGGAGTCATTTCCATATTTCATAGCAACTCCAGAATTCATGATTAGATTAGTCTTTTCAGAGCTCAGGTATTTCTACAGATTATAATGCTTCCAAGCTTTGCTTGATTGATTCAACACTCCTTTCTTCTCTAAGATTTTTCTGTCCTACACATTTTGCTCTAGACAGCCATTTTCACTTAACATTTATAGAGCCTAAATTAATGATGCAAGGTCTTCTAAAGGAGCCAAATTGGTTTTCATTTCACAAACAATCCATTGCTGCAAGAGACTCATTAAAGCTGCAGATTGCAGGGTCACAGAGAATGCAGACAGTCAGTCATGATCTCCTGGATACTAAAACTGCCCAAGTCCATGTGAAATCTGTTTCAGCTTTGCCTCTAGTTTTACACTGCCCTTTTCCAAGCTAGGTTTGAGCGCATCTCCCATAAGAGTTCCATAACCTGGCAACTATTTGGTGAGCTTCACATGAATTCACAGCGAGAACACAATCAAGTACTGCTAAGGTCTTAGGAAGGAAAAAAAAAACCGAGACAAACTGATGCTGCACTTCACGCTAAAGTTTCCCCCTCGACTAAGCCCGGAGTTGTAAGTGGTTTATGATCAAACACAGCTGTCTTCCTTCGAGCGAAAGGGTGCATGGAAGGGGCGGTGCCAAAGCAGAAAGGGAGGGGGAAGGAGAGCTACACAGAGTTCATTTTGGAATTGTAGGCTTCTGTCCAGCTTTCTGTAGCTAATTACTGATTACTGCAACCAAAACTACAAGGTAAGCATGCAACAGTAAAAGTTACCTGCATAGCCACGTAGTTAGATTCTTATTTCCCCTATTTCCATGTGCAATTAAATGAGGTTCTTTTTATGATTTAAAAAAGTTTTAACTGAACCTGAAGTTATATTTAAAAGCCAGGGATTTTACATGGTACATGAAAATTTTACAAAATTTAGGCCAGATATGACTAGATGCATTTTTTAAAAATCATGTCAGCATCTAACTAGTAGCCCAGGAAATTCCTAGGAGTATAGGTTTTTTTTTATAAAGAATGTGCTGATTTCAACAAAACAGACAACAGAAGATTTAGTGACAACCTTTTCCCCTCAGTCCTTGCCTACTGTAAGTACTCCACTCAGAGAAAAAAATGTATACTGCTTTGCACAGCTGGTGACTAAAGTGTATCTGCTCACAACCTACTTCTAAATTATCAAATCCTGGGAAGAGTTTTTATAAAGAGCAAAAATAAAAATGAGGACAAATAGGACATAACCTCAAAACTTGGCAAATCCATTTACACAGGAAAAAATGTTTACCAAGAGTAGCATTCTACAAAAGACCATCTGAATAGTGTCAGAGGGCTAGCTGAGTTAGTCTGTAACAGGAAAAACTTTATAAAACCCAACAAATAGTCTAGCAGCACCTTAAAGACTAACAAAACAGGTATATGGTATCATGAGCTTTCGTGGGCAAAACCCACTTCTAAATAGTGATTACTGACCCTTTGATTAATGCAGATAAGGATAATTCTTCTCAATCACAAAGTCTATTCAGACCTCAGAGGGAAAAATATTAACATAATAGCAACTAAACCTTTTGGGTTGCAGCACATCCTGCTATAATATCAGGATCTGTGGGTCACTTGCCACCCCAGTCATGCCAATAGCTGGCGGGTATAGATGCTGCAGTCTCCCTGTTAAATACATTCTCTTTTCCTACCCGTCGTGGATCCATTTTCCATCCTTTCTTTTCCTTCCTGATTTTGCTTTCTATACTCACTTATTTGTTTTCCTCACCTAGATTCTTCCTTGTCTAATATTTTTCACTCAATTTTCTGCACCCAATTTTCTTATATTTCCTTCCCTTTCCCATCTCCTCCTCCCTCAGTGCTCTCTTACATTCTTGCCTGTTTATCTCCTTTGTCCCCTACCAGTGTACTCTCCTCACCTTCCCCCAGCTGCTGGCAACGTACTGTGCTGCTCTCTCCTGGTAGAACGCTGCTGTGACTAATGCAGGGAACAGCACTAAACAGAGCGACAGGGCCAGAGTACACGCTAGGGATGTAAAACCCCATTTAAAAAGTTAAATGTTACGTGTAACTGGTTAATGGGGACTCGCAGTGCGGTGTAGTGGGCACGGCCGGGCAGGAGGGCCATTCCATCCCAGTAGCTCTCCAGAAGAAGACAGAAAGATGGACATCCCCACTCCTCTGTAAAGTCTGATGTGCCAGACAGGTTGGGAGTGCAAGTGTTGAGGGATATGTGTCCTTATTTTCACATGTGGAGTAGTTACTCACTATAATGAGAAGACCCATGTTTTCTCTTGTGAATGCAGAGACACCTGATGGTGAATTATCATAAAACATTTTGATACAGTGTAAACCTTGAGTTATTTTATGTCCAGGCGCACCCTCCATGGGTGCTCTGGGGTTGGAGCACTCACATTAAACGGTAGTATTGGGCACTCAGCACTTCCTGGCAGGCCTCTTCTCCCCTGTTTACCCAGTACCTCCTGCCACTGATGGGCTCCACTGATCAGCTTGTCTCTGTGCTCATCATGTCGCTAAACAGATGAGCTAATGGCAGCTGATGGGAGGTGGAGAAAAGGAGATGGGCCTGGATGATACATGGCTCAGATAATGGGAGGGGAAGGGGCGGGACCAGCACCTTCCCAAGGGCCCGGGCCCTGCCAAGCCTTTTAATGCAGCCTGCAGCCCCCATCCCTGGGATACAGAGCAGCTTCACACCATTCAAAGCAACTGGCTCTCCGGACCATGCCGGGGGGAGGCTTCGTACACTGCCCCCACCCACAGCACAATCTTTCAGCTCCTATTGACCAGTTTCCGCCAATAGGAGCTGAGAGATTGGTGCTGGGAGGGCAGAGGCAGCAGGCAAAGCCTTTCCTCTCTGCTTCTCAGAACAGAGAGACACATGTAAAAAGCCAGCTGCTTTGAGCAGCCTGGGGCTGCGGGCAGGCAGGGAGCCTGCCTGAGGGCCCTTCTGGGCTGATGACTGGGAGCTGTTTAGGTGAGCACCTCCCAGCCACAGCCTGTCTCTGGCACGCCAATAGGAGCTGAGAGATTGGTGCTGGGAGGGCAGAGGCAGCAGGCAAAGCCTTTCCTCTCTGCTTCTCAGAACAGAGAGACACATGTAAAAAGCCAGCTGCTTTGAGCAGCCTGGGGCTGCGGGCAGGCAGGGAGCCTGCCTGAGGGCCCTTCTGGGCTGATGACTGGGAGCTGTTTAGGTGAGCACCTCCCAGCCACAGCCTGTCTCTGGCACCCCACCCTCCCCCAACTCTCAACTCCCTCCCAGACCCTGAACCCCTCCTGCACCTCTCCCCCAGGTCACCACCCAAACTCCCCCGTGCCCCACATCACATCTCCCTCCCAGATCCTGCGCCCTCTCCTATACCCCTCCTCCAAGTCAGAATCCTCTCCTGCACCCCAATCGCCTGCCCCAAGTCACAATTCAAACTCTCTGTACCTCCCGCCCTCCCTAATCCAAGTTTTCAATCCCCCCCTTCATTCAAACTCCCTCTCAGACCCACACCCCTTCTGCTTCCCAGTCCTCTACCCCAAGCTCCCTTCTGTACCCAACCTCCATCCCAGATCCCATAGCCTCTCCATAGAAAAGTGCAACACTTGACCACTTACCAAAATCTTGGAGTGCCCCCCCCCCATTAACAGTTATTGCCCACCCCTGTTCCAAAGGCTGAAACTGCTCTGCAGCCCTGCTCAGTGGTTGCCTGCAAGAGCCTGGCTTGGGAGGTGACTGCCACTCCCTGCTGAAGCTTGGGTGCTGGGGTTCTCGACAGCTGCCTCCTCACCAGCCAGGCTCTCTCAAGCAGCCACCGGGCAAGGCTGTAGAGCAGCAACTGGGAGCGGCCAGCATTAAAATCAGCTCGCTCCTGCTACCTGACTGGAGTTGCAGAATGGGAAGTGAGGTGCAGCTGAGAAGAGAAACAAGCATGGTGGGAGGACATAGGGTTTCCCACCCTCTGCAAGTACCATGCAGCAGAGAGAGCACAGTGGCCCTGGTGCTGGGCACAGGGAGGACAGAACATGTGAGACTAACCTGCCCTTTAGTTCATGCACCCCCATTATGTGGAGGTACCCACTGAAATTACGGATGTAAAATCTTGGTTAATTAGTTAACTAGTTAAATGCTAGGTTTAACCAGTTAAACTAGTTAACTGATTACACCGAGATCTCGGTGGGAGATTGCTTCAGCTACCCCTCTTCCAGCTGCATGGAGACTGCCCCCCTAGCTGCATGGGGGCTGTCACTGCCAGGCCCCCAAAACCACAACATAAAGGCTGGAGCAGCCATTGATGGACCTAACCTCTATGAATTTATCCCTCTTGAACCCTGTTCCTGGTCTTTACAACATCATCTGGCAAGCAGTTCCACAGGTTGACTGTATGCTGCATGAAGATAAACATCCTTTTGTTTTAGGGCTGTCAAGCGATTTAAAAAATTAATCGCGATTAATCACGCAATTAAAAAATTAATCAGACTGTAAAAAAATAATAAGAATACTATCTATTTAAATATTTTTGGATGTTTTCTATGGGTACGTCTAGACTACATGCCTCTGTCGCCAGAGGCATGTAGATTAGGCTACCAGACATAGGAAAATGAAGCGGCGATTTAAATAATCGCCGCTTCATTTAAATTTACATGGCTGCCGCGCTGTGTTCATTACCCTGTTGGATAATGAAATCATAGAATCATAGGGCTGGAGACCTCAGGAGGTCATTGAATCCCGGCCCCTGCCCAAAGTAGGACCAACCCTAACTAAGGGTACGTCTAGACTACATGCCTCTGTCGCCAGAGGCATGTAGATTAGGCTACCAGACATAGGAAAATGAAGCGGTGATTTAAATAATCGCTGCTTAATTTAAATTTACATGGCTGCCACGCTGAGCTGACAAACAGCTGGAATGAGGTATACCTGGGTGGTCGACAAATACCTTTGATGTTGATGCCCGTGCGTCCAGACTATTGCGCTGAGCCGACAAACAGCTAATCAGCTGTTTGTTGGCTCAGCGTGGCAGCCATGTAAATTTAAATGAAGCGGCGATTATTTAAATCGCTGCTTCATTTTCCTATGTCTGGTAGCCTAATCTACATGCCTCTGGCGACAGAGGCATGTAGTCTAGACGTACCCTGAATCTTCTAATATAGCTGGTCCCCGAGTTACGAACGCGTCGACTTATGACCGTTCGCACTTATGACCAATCTCCCATTAACCCCATTACAGCCGGTCCCCAACTTACGAACGCACCGTCCACACTTACGAATGGCACAGCTGTATTTAAAAGCATGTATACCCAACTTACGAACAAATTGAGTTACGACCAGGTGTTTGGTACGTAACCCATTTGTAAGTCGGGGACCAGCTATATATTGATTTCAATTACAGCAACACAAAATACAAAGTGTATAGTGCTCACTTTATATTTATTTTTTATTACAAAACATTTACATTGTAAAAAAAAAAAAAACCCTTCAGTTCACCACACTGAAGTATTGAAGTGCAAATTCTATCATGAAAGCTGAACTTAAATTCATCTATATAATCAATATATTTGTGTCCTATTCAAAAGAGTTCTTTTTTAGCTCAGCCCCAGCTGTGGGCGGCACAGGGCCAGAGGGGGGTAGACTCTGCCATGGGCAGTGCAAAGTTTGGGGGGGCTCATCCCCCAACTGCAGGTGGCATAGGGCTCAGGGGTGGGGGTTAGCTCTCAAGCTCAGGAGAGAGGTCAGCCCCTGGGCTGGGGGCAGTGCAGAGTCCAGGAGCAGGGACTGAGTCCCAGAATCAGATGTTGAGGGGAGGGTCAGTCCCAGCCCTAGGAGGCAAAGAAAGGGTGGATTGGGTGAGCCCTGTTGGGTGTGTGGAGAGGAGGGACAGTTCAGATAAGCTCCCTCCCTCCCCAGCTGCGGCAAAGAGAGGGTGGCTTGGGTGAACCCTGCCCAGAGGATGGGGGGGAAGAGAAGGGAAGGTTCTTCTCTCTTGCTCTTCTCCCCCCCCCCCCCCCCCCCTCTTTACTTTTCTTGTTTACTTCTCCACTGGAGCTGGAACAAAGGCTTCAGGTTTT